GAGAGAGAGAGAGAGAGAGAGAGAGAGAGAGAGAGACTGTGAATACCCTGAGAGCGGCGTTGCATAGTTTGACGGCATTGTCGTGAACGCCATCCAAACCCATTTCCCAGGCGATGACAAACACTCTGAGGTGTGACATGAAGTGGTCGGGCAGTAGTGACTCTCTTTGACAGTAACTAACTTTCGACAACTTCTGGGAGTCGTCTAAGAATCGCATGTCTCGGATGTAGGCGTTGTTGAGGTCGCAGATGGGGTCGAATCGCATCTCAAAGTTGATCTTCTTTTGCTTTTCCTTCATTTCCTTCACTTTCTTCCCGAAAGGCTTAATCACATGCTTTGGCTTCGGTTTCACTTCGACTTTCACTACTGTTTCGATACAACAAAACAAATGTTAGATCTAATGATTGTCACGGATTCGTGTCTTCAGCGCAACACTTACTCGTAGTGGTAGTGATGGGTGTTTTGACGTCCACTTTGGGTGCGGCGATGGCTTTGATGGGACGGACGCGCGAACTCTCTTCCTGTGTCTCCAAATGCGAGCATTTGTTGAGAAGAGCCAATAGGAAGGCGTTGTGAGCTCTGATCGAGTCTGCGGTCAGGAACTGATGCACTTCGCGGTCGAACAGGGACGGACGCGCGAACTCTCTTCCTGTGTCTCCAAATGCGAGCATTTGTTGAGAAGAGCCAATAGGAAGGCGTTGTGAGCTCTGATCGAGTCTGCGGTCAGGAACTGATGCACTTCGCGGTCGAACTCCTCTTTCGTCGACTGCTGTGTAAACCATTGTCTCATTGCTCGCAGATATCTGTCCACAAAGAGAAAGACAATCAGACATAACATGTGATCAAAGACATCAATGGTATAAACAATTGTATCACTTCTTAAAGTTATCGCCGAGACTGTCGTCGAGAGCCCTCTTCGCGGCCACCAATGGGTCGACTGCCGTCTCAGCCGAGGAGGAAGTGGTGGCCATCGATATAACCGGCGATTAACACACAAAACAGGTATTGATTTATGTATTGATTTAATTCATTCACACAATCGATGAGACAATTTGTGGTCCGATTTCAGTGCAGATGTGTTTTAATTGTGATTTAATGCCAATAATTATCGACAAAAATGTTTAGCAAAACATTGAATGTATTGTGAAATACAAAACAAAATCACAATTTATTATCAAAAGTCAATTACGGCTCGTATTTCACGAATCGACTCAATGTATGACTTTTTGCATATCATTATTCACTCAATGCATAGCAAACTCAAGCATAAAATCGCATCTAATTATATTGCAATTACTATTAAACTCCATGTGATTAACAGTCAATTATAGATTTAATGTACGGTATATTGAGATATAACAAGAGTTGACTGTAAGCCCGGGGGAGCGTCCCGTCTGTGGACGTAATGTATGACTGATTTACGATTCTATGAGAGGAGAGAAAAAACATTTAAATTCAGTGTTTCTCTCGCTTTTCACTCACAAATCAATTAAACTTTTGGTTACAGTTTTTGTACAGTTTTTTTGGCATTCAATTCATTCAGACATTCATTTCCTATACATTAATCCCATTATATTTGACTGCAATTGCATTTGTTTTATTGCCGTTTATTTAATTGCATGTATCGGTTGTGTTAACATAAGTGTTACAAATATTTACAAAAGTTTTATTTTTTTAAAGTCAATTTAAATTTAATAAAAACTATATTTAGTGTTCAAAATGATGTCAAACGAGTGCAAGAATTTGAGCCCAGAATTGGACGCGAAGATCAATGAATGGCTTGAATGGGATCAGGTTTTGACCACTTTATTATTGAATTGTCATTATATTTGTCGCTATATTTATATTATAAAATTATATAACATTTATTGATTTGGTTGACACAATATAAATTACATATTTTACATACTAGGTGTTATATGCGCTTGGTCATTTACAGTATTAGTCCTACGATGAATTCAGCATTTAATTTATATTATTAATTGTGATATAATTAGTTGGGGCTAACTAAAATGAATTTACTAATTATACACTTAATTGGCTGAAAAATGACCTTGCTGCGGGAAAATTCCTGTATTTTTTAATCTATATATGTTATGAATTAAATGCACTTATCAAAAGTTTAAGTTAATAGTTTTATCAATTATTAATAGTATTAACTTAATACACGTATAGTTTGCTATAATTAAAGCTCAAAAGTAACTGTGTATCAAATTTCATCATGCTCATACATTCAATCTAATTAGCAATGATTAAGTATCACATTAAATAAACGTGTCATTTAGATTTTATAGGAACTTTTTTTTACTATTTATCGACGTTTTATTAATAGGTTTATAATTCAATGCTAAGTAAATCCAAACTAGATTTTGTTGTTTGTTATATAATATGTGCGATAAGATAACTGTCGTGTTATACCATATTTTAAACTAATATCCAATAATAATTTTTTAATAATAATTAAGTCTAATAAAAATTCAGATAGATAACTTTCTTATTCTGTAAATAAGTGACATTTTATACATTTATAATACAAATTAATTCACTATTATATGTGTATTATTGTGAATATCAATATTAACTTATATAAGGAATTCAGTTATCTGTAGGAATAGTGCAAACATTTGTAGTAATTTACTGTTGTCTAACAATTTATGACAATTAACTATTGTATTTCCATTAACAAAGGCATATGCACTTACAGTGTACCGCAATAAAACATTTTATATTATATACAATTTGCTGACATAGACCTAACAAACCAAATCATATCTAATCTTTACTATATTCCTAAAATTTTTATAATCTTTATATAATTTAAAACTTAAAATTTAAATCTTAAAAAATTGCAAAAAAAACTTGAAATATTGATTTTGTCAATAATAACATGTTTAGTAACATATTTCTAATGTCTTAAAATTGAAACCAAAATTAATTGAATAAATAATTTGGAATATTTAATGTCAAATCCAACAGAATATTCTTAACATATATTTATTATATGACAACAGAATCCCAAAACTATTGCTGAGATCAAGAAACTTGTGGACAATAAAGACACGGAACAACTGAGCAAACTATTGCTAACTCGTCAGGAGTTTGGAACCGCTGGCATTAGGGGTCAAATGGTGGCCGGCTTTGCGGGAATGAACGATCTCGTGCTCATCCAGACCTCACAGGGTTTGGCCAAATACTTGCTTCAAATGGACGGCTCCGCCAAAGATAAAGGTGTTGTCATCGGATACGACGGCAGACATAATTCGTTACGTTTCGCGCAGTTGTCCGCAAACGCCTTCCTATTGGCCGGAATCAAAGTCTATCTCTTCTCGACATTAGTGCCGACGCCTTTCGTGGCCTTTTCTATCCGAGTCCTGTCCGCCACCGCCGGTCAGCTATTCATTAATTTTTGGCAGTAATTAATTGTTAATACAATTATTTGTTTGTTTTTGGGAACAGGAGTTATGGTGACGGCCTCTCACAACCCAAAGATGGACAACGGATACAAAGTGTACTTTTCAAACGGCGCTCAAATCACTTCACCACACGATAAGAACATTCAGAAGAGTATTGTCCAGAATCTGAAGCCATGGGACGGCGTTTGGACGAAGAATCCCCGACACGACAACAAGTGCAGCGATCCGTTGGACATCGTCTCCAATAACTACTTCTCCAGAATCGATAAGAATATATTCAACCGAAACACAAACATCGGCTCAAAACTGAGGGTCACTTATACGCCGATCCACGGCGTCGGACACGTCTACCTCACCGAAGGGTTCAAAGTTTGCGGCTTTAAAAACTGTTTCCCCGTCAAGAGTCAGATGAAACCCGACCCAGAGTTCTCGACCGTCACTTTCCCCAATCCAGAGGAGGGCAAAGGGGTTCTGGTATTGATATTCCTTAACATTCTGATAGGATTTTGCATTAATTTGCGCGTTATTTCAATCAAAGGACGAGTCATTCAAAACGGCTGCCGAAGAGAAGAGCACAATAATCATAGCCAACGATCCGGACAGCGATCGGTGCGCTGTCGCCGAATATCAGGCCAATGAGTCTAAATGGCGGATATTCTCGGGCAACGAGACGGGAGCTCTGTTGGGGTGGTGGCAGTGGTTTAAACACCAGTCCCGGAACGACGCCGCCAAAGCCAGTGACGTGTATATGATGTCATCGACGGTCAGCTCCAAGATATTGCAATCGATGGCCAAAATAGAAGGATTCAATTGGTTGGAAACGCTGACCGGATTTAAATGGATGGGCAATAAAGCGGACGAATTGGAGAAATCGGGAAAAACGGTTTTGTTTGCTTTCGAGGAGGCGATCGGCTTTATGGCGGGCACTACGGTCTTAGATAAGGACGGCATCAGTGCCGCCGTCGAAGTGCTCCAATTGGCCGCATATCTGGAAACGGAGCGAAAGTGCAATCTATCGCAACATTTGAATCACATTTACAACACATATGGATATCATTTCAGTCTTAATTCCTATTATATTTGTCACGATAAGGATGTGATTAAAAGTATTTTCGATCGGTTGGCAAATTTCAATGGACCCAAAACCGTATGAATTGATACTATTTTGCAATTAGTTCTCAATTTATTTAACAATTATTTGTTGTCGATTAGTATCCGTCCAAAATCGGTTCCTATGAGATCGTTAGGGTTCGGGACCTAAATCGTGGCTACGATTCTTCGACACCCGATAACATACCTGTGATTATAAAGTTTTTTTTGCATATAATGTCTAATTTTATGAGACTATTTGACTGAATATATGTTTTATCATTGAATAGGTGTTGCCTTCGAGTTCGTCCTCTTATATGTTGACATTTTATTTCAAGAATGGTTTCGTATTAACCATAAGAACGAGTGGAACCGAACCGAAGATCAAGTATTATTCAGAAGCGATCGCATCGCCTGAGAATAAGTAAACAAATCTCTTAATTAGTCTCTTCTTTTGATTCAATTATTAATTTTTTTACGTGTGATTTCTGATAGGAATTGGTCTCAAATCGAGAATGAATTACGCGATCTGATCGACCAAATGATTGCCATTTGTTTAGAGCCCGAGAAGAATGGGATTAAACCAAAGCAAGACTAGATTTGTGCCGTAAATAGTATTTCATTTAAATATAGTTATAGTTTTGATACATTTATTTCTAACGCTAATCAAGATTTGAAATTATTATTTGCTTATATTTATAAATTATTTTCATTTACTAAATGACCACTAATTGTGTCACAATTTATGGAGTAATTTATTAACTGTTATCGAGAATCAAAGTTATTTAGAAAGTGAGTCAAATATATAGTGAGAAACATATAAATTATTTACAATATAATAAATATAGTATCTAATTGTGCCATTATTAATGATCGTGATTAATTAAACAAAAATAGCTTACCTGTATAAGATGATATTTAACAAATTAGATCTCAGTCAAACATTTACTATTTTATTATTTGTAAAAATAAATTTCAAATTAAAATTGATTACAAAGAATCGGATGAAATAAATACCACTTTTTAATAAATATAACAAATTTAAAACTCGGAATATAAGGCATAATAAACAAAGCCATTGCCAGAAATGCCTCATTTTCACAATAATTTTCGGTGCAATTCTTTCAACTGTTCGTAAGTGACTTCGAGGGACACCTCCGCTGACTTGTCCGACGGCACGGATAGGACGGCCGCCAGTTTTGCGCTCTTTTCGTTCAAACACTACAAATATTCAAAACAAAAACAATGAATAACAAGAAATAGATGTAAAATAACAGTGAATACAAACCCGGGATATATGGGGCGCCGGAAACGACGCGAAGTGAGCGCTCGACTGATACCCTTCGCCGTACGTCTGGACAAAGTTCTTGATCTCTCGCTGAAGTTTGTCGTAACGGGAGATAAAGTCGAGCCGTTTGAGCTCCTGTTGTCTGATCTGCGCCTTAATGGGTAGCTTAAAATCCCAAACCGATTCCGTGATCATCGAGAGTCTGATATCGCTCTTGAGTTGATTCGCTTGTTTCGTCAAATCAATCATTTTCTCCTGTTTGGGGTTCACCTCTGCTTCCCTTCCCTGAGCTCTCAACAGCCAAAGGGGTTTGCATTTATCCATTCGGGGCAACGGTTTGAGCCGCAAATCTCTTTCGGCGATCTTCACCTGTAGATTGTAGTTATCGTCGGCGATGTTCTTCAACGCCGATCTCAAGTCGCGGATCTGCGACACGAGCGCCGACTCATTGGTACTCGTCTTCGAGGTCATGATTTTGCCGATTAGATCCGACTTCGAGTAGTCTTTGAGTTTCTCTTTCATTATCCGCTGATTTGAATACAAATCGTTAATCTCTTGATTGTATTTATTTAACGTCTTCTCCCTCTCGATCTCCTTCTCCTTAAACTCTTTGTGACACAAATCCAATTCGTTCTGTAGTCTAACGACTCTGTCGTCGGCGTCTTTCGTGGCGTTCGACAACTTCTTTTCGGCCAAATCTCTTCGGATCTGCATTTCACTCAACTCTTCCATCTTTGACTTCAACGCCCGCTTCAATTCGTTAGTCTCGCTGTCTCTCGACTCGACCCGACCTTTCAATTCGTTAATCTCTTCGGTCTGCGCTTTCCATACCTGTGCCCTCACGTCCACAGCGTTTTGGGTGTCACGCGGTTCGGGCGCTTTGGTCTCGTCGTAATCGCCTATTCAAATGGATTAACACATTAAAGACACAATAAAAACACAATTTTCAAAGCGATGGTCAATACCCTGGGCTAAAGCGGTGGAGAATTGGCAGCAGATAGTCATCACTGATTGCAGGCAATCGTTGACTAACTTAAGTCCACCGACATCTTTGGCCAATTCGTCCAACTTCTTGGCGTTGCACTCCTTCTTCAGAGCCAATCCGTTGATGCGAATCACTTTTAATGCAGTGATTACTCTACCAGTCATTGCGATGCAGTCGAAGATCTCGTTCTCGACCGACGGCTCCAGAGTTAGCCTCGTTTTGGACGAAAGCCTTCGTTTGATTTTCTTGCAGAACTGGTCGATGTCTTCCACACACGTGGACACAGTCTTGAGGGCTTCGCAATCGCTGCAAATGCCGTCGAGGATTGTTAAATCGAGATGAATGGCGTCGGAAGCGCTCTTTATAATAGTGATAAAGTCGTTGACCAGTTTGTTGTGATCGTAGGCCCGTCTGTCGGCCAAATGGATGTTATACAGGGATTGGAAGTAATTCAACGACTTCTCCAGCGACTCGATCACAACCGTCTCATCGAGTTTGTCGTTTTTGAGTAAATCCATGTAGTGGTCGATAGTGCGCTCGTGAACGGCCAGCTCCGGGAACAGTGCGCCCATCTTCAGGAACAGATCGCTGTCACTAGTCTTCAGTGACTCCATATAATTGCCCAAAACTGACTGAATCGACAACAGATTGTACAGCAGTTGTCGAGTGAACACCTGTTGGCGGACGCTCTCGTGGGACTCAATAATACTCTGTTTAGTGATCTCTTTGACGTCCAGCGCCTGATACTTGTCCACCATCTGATGTTCAATGATTTTACACTTTTTGATAATTCGTGGCAAAAAGAGCAGCACTTGTATGGCGTCGTGATCGCCGCCGCGGCTGAAGAAGGCGTCCGGCATAAACTTGGAGAGAAAGGAGATGTGGTTCTGGCACTGATCCACTTCCAGGCGCCGCAACTCCATATCGATGGCTCGCGTAAACGCCTTCCGGTCCTCGAGACGGGTCTTGAAGCCAATGTTCTCCACTTTCTGTTCAATTTGTTGCGTTGTCTTCGTATCGGATTTGGTCTGCAATTCCTGTATCTCTTGGCGCAAATTTGCCACCAAATCGCGGAACTTCTTGATAGTGCTCTCGTAGTCGGCCAGTGTTTCCTGTATGACAGAGTACTCGTGCCGAAGAGTGCTGTTCTTGGACTGAGCCATATCCAGCTCTTCCCTCAATTCCATCACTTGTTCCTCTTTAGCCTCAATGAGTTGATTGTTGAGGTCTCGGATGTTCTCCTCGTCGTCGAGCGACTCTTGCATTTCAGCCATTTTGTCCTCCAAACGCAGATTCGTTTCCGTCAACTTCTCCACCATTTCCTGCGACCCGAGAGCCATATCTATCTGTTCCTGAAATCCATAATTAAATAAACAGACAATTAATATAAGTGTCACTAAAATGATTGGTAATGAAATGGTAACCGACTTTAAGGTCAGCCATCTGTTCCTCATATTCGGCCACTTCTAGACTCAGTTTTTCGTTGATTTTCTGCAACTCCGCGCACTCCTCCTGATTGGTCTCCAACTCCTTCTGCAGTGTCTGTATATCAGTCTTGTCCTGAGCGGAGATGTCTCGCAACTTGAGCAGCGCTTCCTTGAGGCGCTCGTTTTGCTGCTCCAACTGTTTGGTCTGATAGCTAGAGACGGCTCCGTCGGCGCCCTTCTCCTCGATCTCGCTCTTAATGATCTCGAGATCGAGTGACACCTCTTCGAGCCGTTCCTTCGTCTGTTCCAATTCAGACAAACACTGTTCCAACTTATTCTCAGTCATCTCTTTGTCGATGACAGCGATCTCCGCGGTCTCCACCAAATCCTTCATCTCTTCCGCGTGTCTCAGCTGTTCCTCTCGCGCCTCTTTGGCCTCCTTCTGTGCGGCGACCGTCGCTTTGGACAACTCAGCGATCTTTTCGCTCATTTGTCGCTTATTTTCGTGCAATTGTTCGCTTTGTATTCGCAGCCTCTCGTAGTCCATCAGCTTCTCCTTGTCCTGCGCTCTGCGCACCCGAAGTGTATCCAACTTTGACTCCAAGTCCTTCACCTTCTCTCTCAGCGTTTCGAGCGCTTCGCCGCCGACGCCCACATCCGGTGAGCCCACAGTTTCGGCCCTTTTGTGGACCAAAGTTTGCTCAATATTTTCGGTCACATTAATCTCCTGTTTAGTGGTGAAGCGTTTGATCATATGCTTCACGTCCTCCAACTTCTCCGGAGTGGACTCTTTGTCTTTCGAGACACTCATGTCGTCCACACTCGGCGACGGAGTCATCTTCGGTGTAGAGGCTGTTAAAGACAATTACGGATCACATTAATTGGGACACACAGTGAGTGAGTGAATGAGAGTAAGAGAGAGAATGACACAGACCTGGTGTGGAAGACTGGGATCGGTTAGCGCCGGGTCGGGCGATGCCTGACTCGTGGACAGGTCTGAGACAATTGGAGCGGACAAAGATGCCGTGATTGTCTTTGCAGTGGAAGTACTCCCTCCCCTGAACGGTGCCATTGTTTTTGCCTTGGGGTTCGTCGAGCACTACTCCACACCAGTCGTGTTCGTTGGGCTTCACGTGAAAGCCGTTCGGGCCGTACGCCAGACGTCCGGCCAGTCGTTTGCCGCCCGATATGTACTCAACGCGTTGCCCGACCTCTAGTCGCCGCGACATCGCCCACAGTGTTGGCCAACGGTTCCCGTGATGTCTTCGCTTCACTCAGTTATCGATACCACTGGAAATCAATGGTAATCACAGATGAAGACAATTATTGTTGTCAACTGTTTTGCGACTTTTTTGGTGACAAACGAGTGATTGATTTGTTTTTAGTGATATTAAAAAAGGAGTTTATAAAAATAAATGCCTTGTCGGGAGCATTCCCAGTGGGAATATTCCCGATAAACTCCCTCAAAACTGGTACCAATAGATGGCAGCACCACTTAAGTGTATAAC